TATGAAAATCATGTTGTACCGAAGTATATTAACAATATATAATCATTCGTAAGAAGCTGTTGCAATTTTTACATTCATAGACTGTCCATTTACCTAATTTGAAAAGTTCGAAAGAAAGTGCACGCACGAAGATGAGGAATGTTACTTTTTAATACTCTTTGTAATATCGTGACAATACTTTGTTGTAATAAAAGAAGTCTCGGAGACAAAATAAAATGAGTGATATTTGAAAGTGCATTTCTAAGAACGCGAAATTGTAACTGAATTTTCCCATAAAATTTTGTCCCATATCCCTGCAGACTTATCGGCCATAAATATTTTTATACTCCGTAGTTCAATAAAGTCTATTAAAGTAGAATGAAGTAAATTATAAAATGTGGGTAATTTTTTTTTTTTTTTTTTTTTTTTTTTTTTTTTTTGTCAAATGTTTATTAGCGAAATGACGTTTTATTTATTTAATCAGACTCTCATTCGATTCTTATAAATTATATTCACATTCTTTATGATACTACAGATCGACATTTTTATTTGAATACGCGTAGGCACAAGCGCATATCAAATAAATCAAGCTGAAATGTACTAGTTTAAAAAATTTGTATACTAAAGTTGATTTTTATCTTCGAATTACCAAAATTTGTTGAAAGAATCGCTTTCTTAATAAGGATTCACATGAATTATCGATCTTTACCATTAAACGCGAACTATGCATTCAAATACACGAAAATTGCGTATTGTCTCTTAATATTAAACTTTAACGAAATCTTTACTATACTCTATAAAAATAAGAGATTACTTTTCATAAATTTTTATTATTTATATTGAAGTATTAAAAAGCGTTTTTAAATAAAGTACAGTCATAAAGGAAGGTAGGTAAGGTTTTATGAAAAATATCTTTACTCCGTACGCATCCCTTATTTTTGTTATTTGAACTCTTTCATACGTATATTAAGAATATATAGGAAAAGCATCCGCAGGCACAACTTACCGAGAGAACTTTTGCATAACGAATATATTTTGTCCAAGCGTATTATAAGACGAATATCATAAAAACGTATATTCAGCTCGTCATTCGTGTCTCAGTATAATCAAGGAGCGAGTCTACTGAAGAATTTCTTTCACAAGAAATAATTAATTATCCGACACTCTCTAGCCAAAAAAAAACAAAAAAAAAACAAAAAAACAAAACAAAAAAAAAACAAAAAAAAAAAAAATGCAAATTCCTATTGAATATTGCATTAATCGTAAGTGTTCGGACGTTAAGAACGTTATATTTTAATTAAAATACCTTCGGTCGTAATCGCATGTGATACCCAGCAGTAAATTTTTTTTTTCCCTCCCACAAAGTTTGTCAGTACTGATTTGGTTAGGAACGCAAAATAAACAATCAATAGAGAAAACGCGAAATCCCTCGGCTAATAATAAGTTGCGTAACGTAATTGTCATCCTCTATGACGTTATCTAGTTTACAACTTATGAAACTAATAGAGAAAAAGGTAATAATAAAAGCGATGAGAAAAAGGGACAATAGGAGGGAAAAAAGACCTCGCGGCGCGTCCAGTTCCATTGACATCGAAATTGGAAAATTCCCACGGAAACTTTTCTACGTGAATACCCCTGTTAAGGATCTGGCGCCGTAGGGCGTCCTCACCCTTGTACGCAAAAGGACTATCGTAACTCGTTGTCATTCCTTTTCTTCCCACCCTCTCCTCATCACCGTACCACAATTCTCGCTCTCTCACTTTCGCGGCATCTTTCCCTCTCATTCAGGCTGCCTCTCAACATTAATTTGCATAATTCCTACATTAAAGCGCGAATGATTCCTGGAATTTTAGACGCCATGGTTATTGGTCAATGTGTAAGATGATAATAAAAGAGAGAAATTCTTTCGCAGCTCTTCACTGGATATTCCGGATATACAAGCGATTCCTCAGAAAGTGACATATTTCCCATTCTGCATTAATGTTAGCCGTTATTTTTGCTTGTGATGCTACTATTACTCTCATTCTCTCTCTCTCTCTCTCTCTCTCTCTCTCTCTCTCTCTCTGCAGTCATAACGCTATTTCAAATCGGAATTATCCTCATTACCAATAATACCCTTGTACTCGTTTAAAAATAATCATTTGGGGCGCCATTACGCAAACACGGCTGCTTTGATATTTAAAGCCTTCGATTCTCCCGAAATATATTCACTATCTAAGAGATTCCCGTTCGACTCAAGTACATAGCGCCGAAGAAAGTTTATTAAGAGAAACGTATCTCAATAACGTGATTTGAAAATTGGAAAATTTTAGTAATAGCGTAATAGCGCAGGAAACCCATAAGCAGCGCAGTTTTGTAAATTACAAAATTTGGCCAAGAATGTTCAAGAGTACCTGTATTTGAATCAAAGTAAATTTTATTTAAATATTAAACGAAGATCAATAACAGAGGATAAATTAGCAAGCAAGTAAAATTCGTGATATTGATGAAATTATTAATGAAGTGAAATTTTATTTAATGACGATGCGAGGCTCGTATTATTAGAATTTAAAAAAATATCCTTTAATCGACCACTTTTGCGCATTTAAACCGCGCAATTCATATTATCATATGGCACTTTAATATTCATAATTGTAAATTGCGCAGACATGTAAATAATTAACGGCCCTAATAGCACAGTATAATGCAGTTATTAGAGCGAGCGCCATTCGCGCACGGAGCATTTGCGCGATAATAAAAGATAGCGCATAAAAAGGATCTTGGCAGACGGCTCGCGTTCCAAAGAGTCTTGACGTTGAAAGTAGAAAAGTTCCTTCACGGGGACCTGACCATACGCATAATGCGACGACGTTCGTCATTCGCGTTGGCTGGGGCGTGGCCACCGACGTAGTTGCGCCGCCGCCACCGCCGTAGCCGCCGTAGCCGCCGTAGCCGCCGTAGCCGCCGTAGCCGCCGTATCCGCCGTAGCCGCCGTAGTCGTCGTCGCCACCGCCACAATACTCCATGAGCGAGGGGTGGCTTCTCCAAAATCAATTTTAAGTACAGAGGAGACGGCGATGCCGATTATTCCCGGCACGTCTTTTTTTCCACGGCGACGCGTTCGTTCGCATTGCCCCGTCTCGGCGGCCGATATCTCCCGCTCCACGCCAACCGCATTCGGACGCCGCGGATCGGACGGTACTTAACCGTCGCGGCGGAAGTCGCGATCCGACCGTTCGTGATTACCTTTTGCCGAATTGGCGATTTTTCCGCACTCGCCGCATCGATTACTTATTGGGAATTCAAAGCGCGGACCTGCCGGTGATATAATAATATTAGCGACGCCGATAATGGAAGATTGCCGACGCCAATAAAGTAGAATTCATTATGTAGGAGACACGAGGACGAAATAATGCTCGAGAATAAGATGAATTTAGAGTATATTGTTTTTAGAAATTGTTACGCCTGGATTAAGAAGATAGCGGCAGATTATATTCCCGGCGGCAATTACTTATGCCGATCGAAAATTCTGAATTATTAATTTGATTATTTGGACATTCTTGTTTCCCGAAACTTTCCAAGCTGCGATTATTCTGTTCGAGCTTCTAAAATAGTAATTCTGCTCGTCTACATGTTTGACATTCGAAACTTTAACTGTGAAATTGAAGCGCATAAACAGCAACCGAATAGCTCAGAAGAAAGAAAGCAAATTAAAAACTTTGTAATTCATAATAATATTAAAAGTTGAACAATTATAATTATACTCATAAAAAATATTCATACTTTAAAAATTACGGTCATTCGCGTTAATTAAATAACTTCTATTTACTAATGATATAACTCTGGAAAAATCAATAAACACCGAATCGCTTCCTGTCTTATTCATCGTCTCGTTTATCTTCCACACTTCCCTCCAACTCACCCTCATTAATTGTTCATCTTACAGTCGTCATCGCGATCATTAATCCTCCTTGTTTTTCTCATTGTTAACATCTCGTTGACTTGCACAATTGGTTGCTCATGCGAGAGAAATAAATAGGGAAGATGGAGAGTACGAAGAAACTGTTGGACGCAAAAACAGCGACGCTCTATCATTAAAGCTAATTTTTCATGGTTTTTACCGTTACTTACGCAATTTGCAAACTACTAACAATCGACAGGCAAGCGATCCTTTACTTAACATGCGACATTCATAAAAATCCAATAATAGTAAAAGTGATTTCCAATATTCTATTTTTACAATTTCTTTCCTCGATAATTATAACCTTATTGACATAGTAATTTTGAAAAGAGCCGTGCTTATTTGCTCGCTAAATGCCTAACAGTAAAACTTTTTCCTCTTGCTCATCTCTTTGCTTGTAAAAACTAATCGGAAAAAAAAAGAAAAAAGAAGAAAAAAATAATCAATAATCCGAAATATCCCTATTATTCTCGACCTCCTCTTCCCCTAATTCAATTCGTATAATTTTTTTTCACTTATCCCTGTGTACTCTGTTAAATCGTAGTCCATCGAAATCTAACGTTTCTTTTTCTTCTCTTTCGATTGCTCTGTCTCTGTTGTTCCTCTCCCCCCCCCCCCCACCCTCACCACTCACAGCGCCTAACCCCACCCCCTATCTTCAGCCAAAGAAAAATACTCATAAGTGCTTCCGGTTTACGATCGTGAGGGTATATAAATAATATTTCCCCTCGTAGCTTCGCATTGGCGAAACACGATCTCCGCTATCTCTCCTTCTCTTTCGGCCACGTTTTGACGAACGTAACGATTAGTTAGCTGTTTGGGCCATTTTCCATCCGGGCAGCTAAGAAATTTCGACGCACTCGCCCAGATTGTTAATAAATTATAGTCGATTACAAGTTTTTGATGGAGTTCGCGAGCCGGTTTGTTCGGTGTGCCTTAATGGGATGTGTCCATCTCTGTCTTGCGCGGGCATTTGTCGTACGAGGGCTTGACGAAAGCTTCGACGGTTAAACGGCGACTCCGGTATGGACTTAATTGATGCATTCGTGAGCATGTCTTATTGAATTAAATGTACGCCAGGATGCCGATATGCGAATGCGCGTGAGCGCGTGTAATTAGTGTGATTGAGTAGTGTAATTCGGTATTTAGCCGTGAAGCTCATGAATTTATGGCACAGTGAATTTAATTACCGGGCTTATAATGTCATATTAATATGTCATTTATTATAAAAATTCCATAATAAGCAGATACATGAGATATAATTTGCTTATTCTTGTTGCAGAGATCTCCAGGGAAACAATATTACGGTAATCTTCAAAACGGATTTCGAGGATATGGCGACGCTTCGATTATTGTGAGTAGAAGAAAAATTTATTATTTTCACGAGAGCTTCTTATTTATCGCGACAGCTTCATCGTTACAAGTGTCTAAAATCATGAAAAAATAAATCATAAATTTCAAGGTTCCTTTGAATATTTGACTAAGAAGAGCGAAAAAGCAATTTTTATATCAGGGCACATACTTTAAAACTTTACTTAAAAAAGTTTATAGCATACCTAGTATTCGGTAAAAATATTTAACAATATTCTAACGTATCATGAAAGTATTTACATACAATTTCCCGAAATTAGCATTTAAATGCAAATAGTTTTAAGAAGTGCAAACAATGTTTACGCCATGAAAATTAAATATTTTAATAATACGCGTAATGATGCATAACTTTTTTATCAAAATAAAAAAGGCCGTGGAGCTTTGTAACTGCTAACCTGTATACAAAAATATGTAGATTAGTTGTGCACGTACGCATAAATGTTTTTGCATTCCAGGCTTGTTTTTCACATAAGGCCATGTCTCGTCATGTCATTATACTTAAAGACCTTCTAGCACATTATTGACAATAAAAATAAATTTATTTAGCTGTACATTTTAGACAGGTTTTTTTTTTATGTTTAAAGCCAACAGACATTTTATTTACGCATTTTATCATTAATATTTAGCTCTTGTCGTCTTCATTTATGTTAATTTATAAAATGTAGATTTTATTTTAAAAGATTTATATCTTCCTTACGATTTTCTGGGCGTTAAATGATACATATCCTTGCATATTTAAATAATCGATAATAAATGAATATTCAATCGATAATACTGCGTACAATATATTGCTGGTAAGAGTGAGCATCGAGCCTTTAAAACATAACTTTTAAAGAAATTGTTTTTACTCTCTTTTTATTTTTGTTTTTGTTTTTTTGGTTTTGTTTTTTTTTGTTTTTTTGTTTTTTCTTGGTGACGGAAACGGAATCTTGATTTATTGTGTACCAAGAAAATTATGCTTCATTATATGCCTAATATTCTTCACAATTAATGAGATTGATTCATTGATTTAATTAACTAAATTTTTGAAAGGTATATTAAAAAAAAGAAAGTAAAAAAAAAATGTTTAGAATCGAATTTAATGTTTTCTTCGATATTCCTCTCTAATTAGGTATAAAATATTCATTATCTTGACTACAAAATTTAAACAAAATTACCCGTGTCTCTGATAATTTTCAACATTGTAAATCTCATGACATATAAAATCTAAATTATTATTTTCTAATTATAAGATGAAGATTTACATATATATATATATATTTCTTTTTTTTTTCATTTTTTGATTACTGCGCGAAATACAATCGCGTGTAGTGAAAGAATATTTTGCACTCAAGCCGTAAATCGTATAGGGATCAAATCCATTTCGTAAAGTGGTTATTAAGATTGCACGTAAAGCAAAAAAGATGATTAGCAGTTGTTACAGTAGCGATCGATTAATGATAACTAACAGCATTTTATTCGAATTGAAAAATGAAGATAGCAGAGCAGAATGAAACATCGAGGCCAACAGGCAAAGGTGAACTCGGCTAAGGTGCATTAAAGGCAAAAATGAATACAAGAGCAAATAGGTATCGAGAAGTGAACTTTGATGTTCCTAAAAGCTCTATCTCCCGATGCTTTTATGGCAAATGTATGGACATGTATGGTAATAGCCTACGCATACACGTGAATAGTGAGTGACTCGCGGGTCGAGTGACGTCAAAGTAGCCTCGGTCATCACGACAGCTCGTCGAAATATAATTGCATTAAAAATAAGTAACAACCACTTCGCCGTCGTTAGATTCGTGGAAGAGCCTCTCTATCACTATCACTCTGTCTCTCACTATCTCTCTCTCTCTCTATCACTATCACTCTGTCTCTCTCTCTCTCTCTCTCTTCTTCTTCTTCTTCTTCTTCTCCCTTTCTCGTAGTGCGAGAGAGTACGAGAGGCTCTTCGAATTCAAGACGCGCCGCCCGTCTTGAGCAATAGCCGACGAATGCACAAAAGTGTCAAAGGTCTTGCGCTACACCGGCTACGGCTATTTCTCTTGCGTAAGTCTCTTCGAAAATTCGTCGCGCATCGCTCAAGGCACGCACGTTGCACCCAACGACTGGATGCACCGATTTTCGTCGCGGAAACATTTACCCCGTGTACTTTTAAGTGCCTAGTGCATATCGATTGCTCTTCAAATTGCATTAACTACATGCCGAGACGCGCCTCTTCATTCCATGTAAAGAAATTACTATGGCGAATGAAAGGAGCTAATTCAGTGTGAATGGTGATTCAGACACACGGAATTATGAATAACACACTCGACATTCATGATACCAATTCAAATGATATATAAGATTTTAAACACACTTTAGAACTTCAATTTTCAATTGCGCCTCATTCCAAGCGGAATTCCGCGCTCCTATAAAAGCTCGAGCTCGCGATGCATGTATTAAGATTGAAAAATATCATAAATATACATTGAGCGCACGCGGGCGAGTAAATAAAGACGCTCTCGAAATATACATCTTGTAAGAATCAAATGCGACTTAGCTCCGCGTACATTCACATAAGAAATGATTAAGCGGCGACGGCGGCCCGTTTGCAGGAAGCGCGCTCGCCCTTCCCCGAGAGCATCGATATTCGATTAAAATAGGCCGCGCGCACGAGTACGCGTCTATTTCCGGTGGGCGTAGTTTGTCAAGGGCTTTAAGTGGCGCTTATCAGCGATAAGGTGGATTCGTGGTCGGGGATACACGCGGCACAGACGGGGTTTGGTTCCGAGGTGTGTGATTAAGAGTGCCGCGCGCGAGATTGGAAGTTCTTCAATCGTCGAAATTAAAAATTCTCGCGCGGCGCTCCCGTTCTTTTGCATACGCGTCACGTACGGCGTCGGCTTTTGCAATTTCAGATATCGTCGATCGTAGATGAAGCCCGCTACAGGCTTTCGGCGTAACACCGATCGATCGCCGACTGCGTGACTTTCTTATCGACAAATATCACATATTATTAGGCTTTGTGTAAACGAAGCCCTCTCGACTTCGGATTTCAAGTTCGATCGATGCTCCATGATATTGCACTGGGCGCTTCATTCCTCACTCTATCTTCTAATGTCGACGCTTATTTGCTCTACGATCACTTGGTTAAATCGCGAACAGTCCAAATAATGATAATGGAGACGATATCGCCGGACAATTAAAATACTTTCCTCGATGTAAATAGAATCATTGATAAGACTATTGTGTCTCAGCTATTTTAATTAATTGCGTACGAGCGGCACATTGATAAATCGCTTGCACTCTATGCTCCCGGCGTAAGCAAAAAAAAAAAAAAAAAAAAAAAAAAAGAAATGACAAAGAAAAAGAAAGAAAGTGACAGTTGATTCGCAGGGAATTCCGTGCGTTCGAAAGAAGGCGCTAATTAAATACCGAGTTCAACATTTTTCCAGCCCGGAACTAAATAACTTATAACGCAATTCTAACTTGTTCGAACTCTCTGTCATAAATCAACTTTTCATATTATTCAATCACATTGCACTGAGCCGACTTTTTCGTCGGCGGAAAAAGTTTAATCAACTTATGTAAATCGAATTTAATTAGCTTTGAGCCAAGTTAGACTCGTTCAACTTTTTCGAAAAGGCGAGGAAAGAGAGAAGAAGGGAGCAAAATAATAAATTGATTATTATGTTCGAATGGCATATGTAAATTCGAAATTTTTATCATTCTTACAGACAACTCTCCAATAATCAAATACACACCATTGAGCGAGGAGCGTTTAAAGATTTGGTTACCGTGGAAAGACTCAGGCTAAATAATAATCATATTCGCTTCCTGCCAGATTTGCTCTTCAGCAATATGATGAATCTGAAGCGACTGTAAGTATAAAAAAAATGCCTTGCTTAACTCTATAATACTTAATAAAGCTTATATGTACGTCATATGATAAAATATTTTCCCTTCTCTCGTTTCATTATAATTGCCATTCCAGTTCTTAAGAACAAACCGCATTAGAGCATTTTATGAAATAATACAATTAATTTACATCATACTTGAATCATATGCGAGTTTCTGAATTCTCTCCTACATTTAGTGATATATCATTGAATAATAAGTAGTATTGTACTCTGATCGTATATACATTATTATTAATAACATTTATATATATTTTTTTTTTATTTTTTTTTTTTTTTTTTTTTTTTTTTTTTTTTTTCATGTCTTGCTTTATTTTCTAGAGACCTCAGTCACAATCATATTTCAATGATTGGTCCAAAAACGCTCCGAGGAATACCGATGTTAAAGCATTTGTAAGATTATTTTCTTTTAAAACACACGCAATATCGTATATTGAGAAATAAAGCAATGAAATACAGACGCCAAATAATGTTTAACTTCCAAAGACAATAAAAAATCGCATTACTTGAATTTTTCTTATAAGTTATATCGTACGATATCAAAGATGATATTTATACTGCACTCAACAAACTCGATGAAAATAAAGTAATAATAAATTTTTTAAATTGTATTTCAAGTGAACAAAGTTTCATTTCTTGATGTATACTCGTTTATTGAAAATTACATCATATTGGCTCGATTTATGAAGCGATACGAGCTATTGACAAGCTCGTTGCTATGAAATGGATAGTAAGTGTCAAATAACGACCAATACGAATGCTATAAATTATATTTATACAAGAATTGCATTAGCAGCTTAACTAATACAAGTTATTTCTCTTATTAAGTTATATGCCACACAATATCGTACTAAGCTACGGCGCCTTTAATTTCATAACTTATTTTATTTTTATCCAAAAAAAATTTTTAATTTTTTATCAACAATTTCATATATCAACATCTCATCGTGATCGCTTTACTAATAATTTAATAATCACGAAAATGCCTATTTTCAATTCAATAATTAAACAATATATCAATGTATTATATCATGAAAAATATACGAGTTATTGATACATTAGGTTTTTTCTCATGTCAATGAGAGCTCATTTCTCGAGTCAATGAGTTATCAGTATACTTTGCGCATTATTGTTAAAATTAGAGTTGATTTTAAAATTTTATTGAAACAAAGAATGCATTTACATTTGTATATTCGATTATGAAATTGAAATCCATTATTGGAAGTACGAGAATTAGTACCTCGGATGTTGATACATAGCAATAGAATTGAATAAACCTGCGACAAAAGACGTTTGTAAGAAAATCGAATAACATACATAAGCATAATTATAATACTTAACAATGTTCAAATAGTGATATTTGTTATGGGAAAAATTTCCTATCCCAATTTTACTCGATATTTATTTATTATTATTTTTTTTTTTTTTTTTTTTTTTTTTTTTTTTTTCTAATATACAATTAGCTTTCGAATCGTCGTTATCAAGTGCAGATATCAATTATCTCAAATATTAAATACTTTCAATGACGATTCAATGACGAAATAAATTCTTCATCATCCATCACAATCTGGATGTCTCTATTTATCGAGTAAAAATATTAAAAAGCAAAGAAGGAAAAAATTTAATAAAACGATAAATAACCTTATGTTTTTTTTTTGCCGATTAAAAAAAGGAGGCCACATGAATTCAACTAAAAGCAACAATTTTTATCTCATTTAATGTCATAGCATTGATTTCGTTCTTTCTTATTCTGGATTTATCAATCTATGCATTTCATAGCACTAAAAAGATATCATTAATTGGCGAGTGTATTAAGCCTACATCGAGCGCGAATTCTTGCAAAAATAGATGAAATAATGAGTTGTATGTATGACGTAGATTATTAGACGACAACGCATTAAGCTGCATCGACGAGGCTGCCATTCGCGAACTAAAGGAATTGGAAATCCTGTGAGTACTCGCGCGTCTATGTATGACGTGTTAAAAAGAAAAAAGAGAGAGAAAAAAAAAACATGAAAATACTGCCGCCAAACCCATTCCTACTAAAACTATTGTCATTCTTTTTCTCTTCAACTTCTGACAGAACACTCAACAATAACAAGCTAACGACGCTTGGGAAAGATATTTTCACTGGCTTGGAACATTTTCGCATCCTCAAACTGTCCGATAATTCGTTCATATGTGACTGTCACTTGGCGTGGCTTTCGCGAACTTTAAAAACTTTCTCCCGACTAGGACAAAACACACGCTGCTCGTCACCGGCGCATTTAAAAGAACAGAATCTCGTGGATTTGCAGGTGAGTTTTGTATCCTCTCCTTCTCCCCCCCCCCCTCTCTCTCTCTCTCTCTCTCTCTCTTTCAATCATTCTCGTCGCCCGTTTTTCATTTCACCAACGCTGTTATTTAATTTTTTCCCGATGCTTTACCTTTTTTCTTAGCATATATTACGCCAATCAATCAATTCTACATCCCAACGTTATACCGTGCCACTTTAACATTTCAAGAATAGTTACGAGGCTTGCACGAGCGTTTCTGTCCGTTACTCTTTTCCATTTTTCTATTTTGTCCTTTTAATTTATTCGTCTTAGCAACAATCTAATTAAGTCCAATAATGCGATATAATGTACATGTATTTAGAGTTTCAATTATTAGTGGAGTATTTTTGCAGCGCTATTACCTTACAATGGAGAAACGTCAAGAAAAGAATTAATTTAATCATAGAACTTTGTTGGAAATGAGTCAAGGCTAATAATGCTCATGCCGCAAAATCTTGTCAATAGAAAGTTGGCAGAGCATACGGAATTTTGTACGAGATCCAAAAAAATTTTAAAGTTCTTATCCTAGTCTTAAATCGAAATTTTTGATAAGACAATAACGAGATTTGTCTTTGGATCTCATGAAGTTCTACTGTAAATATGAACGTACAACCGGGGTTGTAATTATAGATAAAACTTCTAGCCAAGATTTAACGTGGATTACCTAATTCAAGATACTTCATCTAAATATTACAGTAATTGGCTTATCAAATATACATGCACATTTCTTTTCGTTACAGTTAACCCAGTTAACAAAGAGCTTTCTATAAAGCGGTAATGCATTATAAAGGAAGCAAGTCTAAATTTCTGCCGCGGTGAAGAATATTTTATGTTTGAAAGGTAGAAGCGTGTCATTATGGCTCCTAATTTTTTTTTTCTTTGATTTTTTCTCTGAATTATCGTCTTTTCCTAAATTACTTTATACATATAGAAAGTACATAGTGAATTTTTATTCGCTTTTTTTTTTCGTCAACCATAATTAACAATGATAATTACAACAATAATAATATCCCTATTAGCTAAAAGTATTTACGTGAAAAGTATTTACCTCGCAAATGGTGTCTCGTGTAACTTTGCCAACTACACGTGACGCACGAGCTGTATTACGTATACATTTACATATATATATATAAGGCGAGTCATAAAAAATAGATAAAGCAAATGGGCAGACGGGAAAGAATATCATTAAGTAAAATTGTTTGTTAAATCTTAGTAAGGAAAAAGGAAAGTACGTCACTTGGCTTGGCTTCGTTCACCAGTTGGAGGAGCGGCAAACCGTTAACTCTCGAGACACGCTTTTATCGAACTAATTACCTTGGGCTGCCTTGAGCGCTGCTGCAAACGTGAACTGTAGTCTTTATTTGAAGGAGCAGCCGAAAATAGACGCCCGACGGAGTATTACGTGACATCGAAAACCATCTCGATGCACTGTATGGTTCCAGGCCCGAGGAACGTAATGCGAATGCGAATGACGTTCTGTTCAAAAGAGACAGATAGAAAGATATATATATATATATATATAAAGAGATAAACAGATAGAGAGATAGAGACAGACATATATATATATATATATATATATATATATATATATATATATATAGAGAGAGAGAGAGAGAGAGAGAGAGAGAAATAGCGCGATAGAGGATCTTCTTATTCACCCGAATGTGTGTGTGTACGCGCGTGTGTATGTACGTCGGTCTGCATTTTACAGGAACACGACTTCAAGTGCTCGATACTGGTGGAGAAGCCGAGTTCCGAGTGCAGCAGCGAGCCCGAGTGCCCGCATCCGTGCAGATGCTCCGATGGGATCGTCGATTGCCGAGAGAATTCTCTGACGAAAGTGCCGACTTACCTTCCCCAGGACACCATCGAGCTGTAAGCGAGCGCCTTGTTTTATTCAGGCGACCCTCGAACACGAGAACTCTCTCGTCTTTCGAGGGCGCCAAGTCTTCCTCCTCCTTTTCTCTTCGCTCTCTAAGCGCACGTGTGTGCGCGCACCTCTGCTTTGAATTTTGCAGGCGACTCGAGCAGAACGGCATCACCGAGATTCCCACCAAGGCCTTCTCACCTTACAGGAAGCTGCGAAGAATGTGAGTTCGATCATTTCGTTGTATGCCAGGAGAGTCCTGTTTCTTTCGCGCGGTGGACAAAACCCAAGCGTTTACGCGCTGCACCTCCGCTGCATCGTAATTTAAGGGGAAATGAGGGAGGTTAAGGGACGGGGGAGAGATCCAAATTTTGTACACCGCGTCATTCATGGCCCCTGGTAATTGCCAAATTACCGGACTAATGGGCTCTGCTTTATTTTTTCTCATTCAATTAAGGAAGTTTATAATTAGATTCCATTTTGTCGGGAATTTGTAATTTTGAGGGGAGTAACGCGCGATTTAGCTGCCATTCCCATTAATATTACGAAAACTTATAAAACTAGCTGAGCGCATGTCATTATATAACTGGTTACAAATTAATGCCAATAGTCTTTTTATAATGTTCCTCCAGGGTACGCGCGCGCATGTTCATGGTAGTTGTATATGGGAGAGGGGATGGATAGCTTTACAGTTAATTTCCTCATTTGTTAAGCAATTTTTCTACAAGCTTATACGCTCTGCGACGCACGGGAAAGCGTTATTACATTGGCCCGAAAATACATTTGAAAATGTATTAGCATTAATGAGCGCATAATTCCGCGTACGATACTAAATGGCTCATTTTTATCTTCTCGTTTCAGCGATTTAAGCAACAATAAGATCCGTAAGGTGGCCGCTGATGCCTTCCACGGTCTCAAGTTCCTCGAATCACTGTACGTACCGCATTCGCATTTCCAATACATTATCCCGTCGTAAAACAAAGCATTTAACATTCAATTATTAACACGAAACATCCTTTAATAAATTAACTTTCAATACTAGCGTGCTGTATGGTAATAAAATTACCGAGCTGCCCAACGGAATTTTCCAAGGCCTAACGAATTTGCAGCTTCTGTAAGTGTCGACTTCATAATGAAACCGTTTAATTTCACTTTCGCTATCATTGCCAAGAACATGATTTATCGCCTTTCCTTAAATGAGAAAAATAATAATAATTCTCCTCCCCATCCCCGCACCCCTCCCAACCCGTGCCCACCCCTTTCCCCGCCCCTTTCACAATTTTTTCGCCCAGTGAAGTTATTCGGAAAATTAAAAATCTACGGGCTTAGTCGAAGCATTTAGTCACCACTCATCGCAATGTCAAACCTTTTCAGATTATTAAATGCCAACGAAATATCGTGCATACGCACGGACTTATTTCGCGATCTTACGAACCTAGCGCTTTTATCACTTTACGACAACAACATCAAGTCTCTGAGTAACGGAACATTCGCCAATCTCCGGAACATCAAAACCCTGTAAGTATTGTAGTTGTACGGTATCACGAACCGAAATCGGAAAAAGTGCGAGAGCGACATTTTTAAAGCTTTGCCCGCTGCGTTATACAATACTACACGTTTATTTTCAACAAATCATTAGATTGTACATTTTTATCGCCTCTGCGGAGGCTCGTAAACTTTGCATTTACATATACGCAGTTACACATTATTTTGTTCATCTCGGTTTAAGTGAAATGCAATATAAATTTTCGAATAAGCGGTACTTCTTTTTCCGAGCCTGTTTGCCGAATTTATGCGGTTCGCCGGGTCGTTTCTTAATTCTGCTCAAACATTAAAATGTTAAATAATCGATAAATCAGTCGGTCATTTTTAATTTTATTCAACAACTAACTGCACACTCGCATAATCAATGTCGGCGTACAAAACGGCGCTTGACATTTTAATAACGGCGGACGATCCCAGAGATGAACAATCAACGACAAACGAAACACTGCGCAACACACGGATATACATAAAAGCATTACTCCAACAAACCCCTTCCTTCGGCTATTTTTCGAATGAAAAAATAGTCGCACACAGCGCACGGGGCGAGCTCCGCGCTTTATCGGTACATACCAAAAAAAAAAAAAAAAAAAAAAAAAAAAAAAAAATGAAAGGAAGAAAAAGGAAAAAATCGGCAATATCGCTCCCTAATCACGCGCGAGCGCTCGTTCCCGCGCATTTCACCACGAGAACGCAATTTAACGTCTCTTTGAGCAGCATTTAACATTTAAATCGGTCGATATTGGCCGCCACTGCCGTAAAAAGCATCGGCTACCCGTAATTTCCGAAAGAGCGAAAAAAGCCGCGAGCGAACGCGCGAGCTTTATTGTGGCCCCGGGTGGTGGGGGCGGGGGGTGGATGACGGGAAGGGGCCGGAGTTGGAATCGCGAACATACAGAAGCACAAAACAATGAAATGCCCAGGCACCTGGCGAGGAACCCCTTCATTTGCGACTGCAATCTACGTTGGCTAAGCGAGTACCTGCACAAGAACCCGATCGAGACGTCGGGCGCGAGGTGCGAGTCCCCCAAGAGGGCCGGTAAACGGCGCATCGACAACATGCGGGACGAAAAATTCAAATGTAAGGGTAAGCACGAACTTCGTTACTCTATACCCTTTGACCCCAGTCCCTTTCCTGAGCGAGTCGCGCTAAGATTAACGCGAGTGGTGAGGATGGAGATTTTGAGGAATGGGATCCTGAAATGCGACACCCACGAGGTATCTCCGCTCTCTCGGGCTCTCTCGATTTTTTGCACCCACGGCTTTTTATGGACGCAATCTCGTCTCTTCCTCTCGCGGTCTTGACACGGCGAATTCCTCTTTCTTTCTTTTTATTTTTCTTCGCATAGATGATTATTCGCCGTCTACATTCCACGGCTCTCATCCACTGACGAAGTAACTGATAAACGAGAGCTCCTCCTTCAAGTTTTCCCATTGTCTCTGCGATGCGTTTTGGGCAATGCGTTGGGAGCCGATAATCATCATCATTAACATCATCATCATCATCATCGTCATCATCATCATCATCATCATCATTATCATCATTATCATCATTATCATCATTATCATCATTATCTCAAGCGGTAATGCACGGTATGTGCTCCGCAGCCGCGTAGCTTTCGACGAGTGAAATGTCAATACCGGCTTCCCGCATAATCATAATACATATTAAAATTTTTCAATTCACGCTCTTATTGAGAGGGTCACTCCCCTCCCTCCCCCCCCCCCCCCCCCCTCCCCCCCGCCCCGCCCCGCCCCGCCCCGTCTCACTCTCCCGCCACCATCTCGCCACCCCGACGTAGCTTTCATCTTTGGTAGAGCTGATTACGCTATGTAACGAAGAATTTGTTAACGATTCGTAAAAATCTAGGCTACCATCATTCATCCAACTGACAATTTATGAGTACTATTTTAATAGGTTCTCTTGTCATCCTTCCGACCGATCAATACCCAAGAGTCATTTATCATAGTGGATAACGGCATACATCCATGCATACAATCATTTGACTGTTTTCTCCATTTTAAAGCCAACATTGAGCTAAATAATACCGATTTACCACCTGGGTTGCCGGACTAGCGAGTAAGATAATTCCCCTTGAAATTCTTAATGAATATGCTAATTCAAAATTATTCCAATCCAATTGCTTTAATGCGTAATTCAAGAAATTTTCCCTTTTCTCCGCTACGATTTTATACAAAACAACGAGCGTCTTTATAAAGAGTCACGTAAAGAACAAGTGAGAGAGGTGGGAGGAGTGGAAATTAAAAGCACGCGAAAAAGTAAGAGGAGAGACGCGCGGTATCGTATAACGTGGAGGGCCGTCGTCTGAATAAAGAGCCAAAGTACGTACAAAAGCCATAAGTTTTTCGCGATACTCACGCGCACGAGCTTTCATCTCGGCTTTCCATCCAATCGTCCGGCTGAGTCATAATCCAGACTCCTATTATAAATGGGCCCTCCGCGCTGGCAATTATGCGCACAAGTAAATGTCCTAAGGAGCGTAGGGATGATTTGCCAGCGAGAAATTAGCCATAAATTTCCCAATCGCTGCGACCTATTCGGATTATAATCCAGGCTCGTTGAAAGCGGCTATCGCCTCGGGTTCGCAGCTCGTGTATTCGCGCCCGGCCTCGGGGTTGTTGTCGTACGAAATCACTTTGTCATACGCGTCTCTTGAAACTTTAAAGCGCGCATTAATGAACGTCGGTCCACATGTGGCCGCTCGAGACTAACCTGCCCTGGCCTCCGCAAGGTGTATTTATCTTCGGGCTCTCGATATTCTCAGCATTATGCGGCGCGCCGATGCAAATCTTATTTTTATAACTCCTAGCGTTTTTTAATGGGCCTCGTTCAGGGTTTATGCTTCGAGAGAAAACAGAGGCGCTCTGCGTATTTATTAATATTATTTGCGTGAGACTCGAAGCAAAATGACCAAAGGCTCCCTGTTGAAAAATGCCGCTGTGAACTGTGTATTATGTGCTAATATTATGTATCTATAATTCAGCCTTACCCTACTCAAGAACTCGCCTCGTAAATTAATTTTTCTATATTTCAGCCTGATTTTGGCACTGTTTATGAGCATTTCGTCTGCCATCGTATCGTATTCCCCGATTTAATCGATTGGAAATTCTGCCTTGTTGTATTATCTGAGGGAATTAATGCTTGCGTCTTAACTGAAATTAGAGCCGATTTTTAAATGACGAATTCTCCGACACTTATTAATCGTTTTATAAAGACTAATTTGTCCATTTTTATTTTGGAATGTAGACGGCTATTTATTTACACTTTGAAGTTATAAATTTTCCATAAAGAGACTCATGTTCATAAATCAGTGAGTTCAAAAAAATATTTCATACCACATTTTTTACAAATTTATTGAATGAGATGAACGTAACCAAGAGATTGTATGGCATTATAATTTTGTGCATTTACTTTTCTTTTACATTAATATTACATTTCCATAATACGTAAATAATTGTATTAAATAAATTAAATTTACTATGTTTCGAAAGAAAGAACAACAAAAAAAAAAAAAAAAAGAAAAAAAAACCTTTGATTGGTCACTCACTCATTATATATTTACATCATGTAATAGCTTATGTAATTACAAATTCTCAACAAATATTATAAAATTTTAATAATTAATTGAAATTCTAATTACTTACTCGTTTTACAAATATGGAAAATAAATTAAACACACTCGAAACATTCCAGCTGCGGACTATAATCAAGTACTTTTTAAATTTTATTATTACGCATTTAAAGTGTTTTATGAAATATATAATCTATTATTTAAATTTCATTTTAAAAACAGCTTTTTGGCAAAAAGATTAAAAAGAGAAAGAAAAACATAAAACGTGATTAATAATTTCATTTAAGAAATGTTATTTCACTGAATATTCATTGGATTTTATGGATTAGTTTTAATGCATAATTTATTATTTCTATGCAACCAATAATAAATTAACCTAAAATTTCCTTAATATATTTTTATAACGCCATAAAAAAGTTAATATCGATTTTAATTTGCTTCTTTCGATACATAAATCATTCCAACACTATATATTTTATTCCTGGACATGCTTATTGTTTCTACCAATAACATAAATTTATCGTCTAATGGTTGAATTTAAATCATATCGTAATACCATGAATTGCTCATTTGGAATTGAGAAATTCAGTGAAAAAATTTTATTTTCATTTCTTCTTTCTGCTCTTCTCTTTTCTTTTCTTCTTATTTTTTTCGTTACTTTTGCTTAAAATGGGCGATGGCTTTCTTTCGTCACGCTAAGGAGCTCAGCAAGAGAGAGAGAGAGAGAGAGAGAGAAATAATCTGTGATTTATGTTCTCGGGCTTCAAAGAGCTTATACCTTTCTGGTGTATTTCACAAGCTGTAAAAATAGTTTTCGATTAAATAATTTAAGCTTTTTGAATATCGCACTTAGACCATGGAGATATCACTTTTGCAATGTTTGCATTTGAATTGCGATTTTTAACATGCATTATGCTCTATAAAAACTCGTATTTTTAACTCTTGCGCTATTTATTATTAATTGCTAATACTTTGTTATTAATAATAACGTAACGAAGTCGGTATGAAATAATTTGCACATTAAATTTAAATGGCCTAGATAAATTAATAATTATTCTTTTATTACATAATTATTCTATGCATAACGTTACGGACTTACATTGATAATTAAAGTCGATTAAATAATGCTTTAAGACCATTAAACAATTATGCGATATTTATTCTTAAACATGCTTTAGTATGCTTGAAAAAAAAAAAAAAAAAAAAAAAAAAAAAAAAAAAACATTATTGATAAAATCCTTAAAAATATTAGTTGTGCATTATTCTTTAACCATTACGTTGGAACAATAGATTGGGTATTTAATATGAAAATTGATAAGCTATAATAATAACCTAAGCTGCATCATAATTTTAATTGAAGAGCAGAATAACAAGAACAATATAATGAGTGCTCGCGGATAATGCATTGACCTGGCAAGAATTCGCTCGCTCACATCCAAAATTCCTGACGTTAACCAACTCTTTCAACCATCTAATTAGGCCTTGTCTTATTTTGAAAATGTGACAAAACTTTCGACTAACATTACGACTTTTAATCTGGTCTATCAATTTTTCTATATAAAAAGGTGACGAAGAAGTTTTGACGAAACGTGCGGGCGAATGCATTTTACCAGGACCCTGCCCTTCAACTTGCATCTGCAACGGAGCTACCATAGATTGCTCAAATAAAAAACTGACGTCCATTCCCAAGGATCTGCCTCTTTACACATCAACATTGTAAGTCATTTTTAGCCTTCGAATTCTCTTCAATTATTTATCTTTTTCGAGGACTTTTTCTAGTTCACCAGCGTTAAAGTTTTGAAAAGTGCTGCACAATAAGTTTCGGTCATTCGATTCCAATTAATCCAGATAATCTCGCGAATAAGATTCATTAATGCCTGAACCTGAAAATTGTTTTCACATTTGTTGCTAATTTCATTTCAAGCCTAATACATTTAAATACTTGGGAGATAGTTTTTACGAGCGAAATTCGGCGGAGCACTTATCTGACTTAACTATTAATCTCTTGCTTCGTAACAGATTACTGAAAAATAATGCGATTGATAAAATCAAGGCTGAAGGGATTTTTGAAAAACTCCCGGAGCTCCAGCACTTGGATCTTAGGGGCAACAAGATTTCACGCATAGAAGCGTCGGCGTTCGATGGAGCGCAGAAATTGACAGACATGTGAGTATGTCCACGCGACATCGATTACAGCGCAACGGCATAAATTTCATTAGAATAAGCAAGTAGCGAATAATTATTATGCTTGTAAAAAAAAAAAAAAAAGAAAGAAAGAAAAAAAAATGAAAACAGAAACAAGTGAGAAAAAAGTAAAAAAAAATGAAAACAGGACTATTGGGAGGCTAATGTCGCTTCTTTCCAATCCATTATTTTGCCAAAGTACGCCTTTCGATAGAAAAGACCTAGTCAGCTGTAATATGTCGTTAAACTTAATAGTAGTAATACAAATTCAGATAATAGCATCGCTCCTCAATGTTGACGTTGCAATAAAAAAGCAAATTGAACTTTCAGCCTTTTGTCCGATAACAAGCTCCGAGAAGTACACACGAAGATGTTCAACGGCTTAACGAGCCTCAAAAGCCTGTGAGTACAAATGTCCCAAATGCGTAGAGCGATTTCCGCCCAATATCGCTTCCTCCTGCGACTATCATCGACGAGCTCCCGGAGCGTCACATTCTTTTTCTGTTCCTAGGAATCTCCAGGGTAACGCGATCACATGCATGATGCCAGGCTCCTTCGACAATTTGCCGCACTTGCATTCTATGTAAGTATCAGTTGGTCGGGCTCGTTAAGCTCCTATCTGTTCGCGCGTGCGAGCGTATCGGTTTTCCGCCCTCGCAATAGCCAGGAGCGGTCGACCGTACGTCTCCCTTTATAAGGAGAGATAATTTTTCATTCCATCGCGTCTGCTGCGATTCCAGAAACATCCAGGGCAATCCGCTGTCGTGCAACTGTCACTTGTCCTGGCTCGCCGAGTGGCTAAAGAAGCGCGAAACCGTCACGCTCAGCGGACATTGCCACGACCCGCCGCGACTCAAGGATGCGGCTATCAACGACATTCCACGCCACGAGTTCAAGTGTAACAGTGAGTTGACATATCGGGTGCTTCGCTTAATGAACGAGCGCGCTGATTCGGTCGCCGACACGGTGACGACGCGCGATAGGGGCGAGGGGGAGCCGGGAGGAGAGCTGGCATTTTACTCGTATAAAAAAAACTCCTATTTACTTTGTCGATGACAATCTTCGGCAGCACTTTTCTTCGAGAGATAAGAACGTCGGGAACTTCAGCTGGCGAAAGCAGGCTTTTAGTCAATGTGTACACGCGCGCGCTCCTTTGTTTCGTAATTCGCAAGCCCTTTCGAGCATTAAATTCTTTCATATCCCGCGATGCCCCGGGCCTTTACATTTTCAATACATTTAAAGGAATAAATGAAATAACTGCGTATTGTGCTGTGCAATTTTTGCTTACAAGCTGTCTATACCCCTTCGTATACTTACAATTAAATACGCGGTACAAAATTGCTACGAGCACCAGTAAGCTCAGTACCTCAGAACGTCATAATTTTCCAACTCGATTATTTATTCGCTACGGAAGCTTCCAACGACTATCTCCGAGTCGAGGTATTAATCTGTCGTAAAATATTTATTACAAAATTATATGACCTAATGGTCGTGGGCACTTATAGATAGAGTGACCGCAGTGCGGTTTGCATTAGAAATTCAAAGTTCAGTAAATGTAAGGCGCATTATGCCGTGGCTTATTAAATCAACCAACCCCTTAACGATAAGAGAAATCCTGTAAATTATTTAGAATTACAGAGATCCCAAGTCAGCAGTACGTATACAATAACGATTTCATTTAATTGGAGGTAATATTATTTTCTTGTCCCACATACAAGATATTCCCCGCGTCACCGTAATCGGTGAGCTGCGCAAGCGAAAATCCCACCGACGCTCTCCCCGATTATCCAGAATTTTTTAGTCGTACGCGCTTGCGCTTGGAAGTTATTATTTTGTTGTTTTTTTTTTTTTTTTTTTTTTTTTTTCTTTTTTTTTCTTTTTTTTTTTGTTTTTTTTTTTTTTTTGTTTCTTTTTCTTTTTAATGTCCTCCGGCCGAGTGGTCGCGCTGGCAATTTACATAATTTATGGAAAATCAAACGGCTCTATGCATTGCGGGACGCGCGCTGATAAAATCGCTTATTATCGCGAAATTTTCGGCGATAATTGCAGATAATTACATGGCCGGTAATGCATTCGCGTCAACGTTTCTGCAAATAAACTTGTCGTGCACACTCGCCACGGTGGATGAGATTATTCATGATTGAGCTAAAATTTTCGGCTATTGGTCGGGATATTTGCCGAGAATCACTTATGAGATAACGAAATTATACAAGTCTTAAGAACGCGACGGCCGATGATTAATGAAAGTGACAAACTTTTACTTCCGCGACACGTGGAAAAATCATAAGGAACTTTATGATTGTACATAATGTTTGACAATGTCATAAAGCAAACATAATTAGATTAATATGTATATTTAATTTAATGGAGACACGAGAAAATAAATGTAATTTACTTCTGCAATCTACGGTCATTAGATAGGGAATAGTATTTTATGTATTTATGAATTATTTGATATATATACCAATGACTATGAAAAATGTTGCTAAACAACTTTCTATTTTTAATTAGGCATATTTCAATTAATAGCGAATATAATTTTCAATTCAAGTTCTTTACGTAAAATATTTCGACATCAGTTTCACATTACAAATCAATTTTATGGAATGCACAGTCTTAAAATTCAATTCATTTCATTCAAAATGTTTGCGTGTCTATTAAGTAAGATCATTTATCGAATAAAATGTTCGTTCTCGTTTGTCTTACGGAAGAGAGAGTTTTTTTCATTCCCTGTATCTGAAAATAAAATCTATCTGCTGCGTGTATGTGTCAATGCGTGCGAGCGCTTATTGCATTTAACTTAGCACATTGGCTGTTATACACTCACCCTTACAGACATTAGATAAATCATAAAAGAAGAAAAGAATAAAATAATAATGAGGCTTTTATAAGTAAAAAAATATTGTAAATTCATCGGCTTTTGTTGTGTAATAATAATGCGCGCTCGCTGATTGACAAAGGAAACAATATTTTAAATGAGAACATATTGTTGTTGCTCATGACGTATTCTTTTTATGATATGATAAATTGCATAATTCGCCAAAGAAGAGTGTACATCAAAAGTCGAACATTGTAAATCCCCATAGACGGTCTTTTGTCTTTTGTCTTTAATGGAAGATACTAACAGTCACAATATTAAATCGAATAATACTCGTATAGATTTAGTCGGGGCCTCAAAGTAATATTCGAATGCCTCAAGCGGCTTATAAAATGTAAAGCGAACGTTTCTTAAACGAACCAACAGTATAACAAAGCCGAAACCAGAGAGGGAAGTCAAATGAAAAAGGAAGCTATAGAGCAGTGAAAGAGATACGAGCGAAACGGTAACCACATACGGATTCTAAACCAGCTTTTTGTGCAATTCGTATTGATCAGTCGTGGTAAATCATCGATCTATCCTCAAAGCTCATTCCGCATCGCGAAACTTCGACCTCAAACTAGGCAACGGTGTCGCTACATATTGACGTCGCTTTGACGTTCATTTTCTCTCCTCCTACTCCTCCTCCTCATTCTCCTGCTCCTCTCCTATGCTACCAACAGGCTCGTATGACGGTGGTTAAGGCCGACGCAGAAAAGTATTTAACCAAGACTGCGCGCTAGAAAAATCAAACGTTTTTCCCACACAGTATTATGTGATGAGTATTTCTTTTTATCATAGACTTATAAATAGATTGCTTTTGTTTTGCGCTCCTTTATAAAACAGCAATAATCGTGTAAATGATAAATTTTTTTTTATTTTTGTTTTTGTTTTATAATAAACCATGGTGCTTGAAAGTATGCAAAATATTCAAATCCTTATCCTTAAGGAGTCTACTTAAGGAGTCGAGAATACTCGTAATCCGAAATTCTAGATATTATTTCACGATAAAATTGCGTGCCATAATATTTATCTTAAACAAAAAATTAATAAATAAATTAGTAAATAATGGTGGTTGGGGGTGGGGATAGCGGGGGAATGTTATGATTTAGGCTTTCAATGATTACGTCGAATTATCCAGAAATTTATTATGATATTTTAAAATACTTAGGGAAACTTTTTTGCCTCACATGCACGCTATAACCAACGATCCATTTAATCGAGATTTTATTCATATGTATTTCAACAAAAGCTTATAAGATACATTCGCCAAATAGAGCTCATTTCGCATTATTTTGTTTAATCCTTTTATATCCTAGCCACGACAAACCTAATCCTTAATTTAAATTTATATATTAAAATAGTTCGTATGTAAGGATAATTTAAGAACGACCATTCTAATTTATATATAAATAACAAACTTTATTGGATACTATCTTTCGACTTAGAAAATTTTATACCTTAGTGATTATGAATTAAATTACAGCTTTCGGAGTATGGTTTTAGAAAGTCCGCATTTGTGTCGCGCCAATCGCGTTGTTAAAGCTGTAATAATTCTGATTACTTGTAATATATCGAACGAGACGTCTTTACAGAAACGACTATCCCTAGGTCTTTTACGAGTACCTATTGAGCTGATAAAGTTTGATCGACGCTTAGTATCCGATTCAACATTGAACACCACTTTACAACGTAATTAAAACGATTATTCCCAGCATGACTGAAAGTCCACACATTTACATTAAAAGATACCATTGCGCGTTATGTATGTATTTGAGGGTTCGGTCGATTCACCTAGCGCGGCTCCGTTCAACGATTCCCGCTCGCGCAAAGTGCCGAGGAGGATTCTAGAAGTAAAGGAAATCGACCAACTAACGACGCCCAACGCTGCACAACCCTACAGTCGCAGCACTTTTTCCACTTCCTTTGTTCCGCGTCCGTTAAACTTTCATTAAATAAATGCACTTTTACCGCCGCTATATTAATCGCCCCGCCGCCAAGTACCACGAAGCGCTCGTTGAGACACGTACGCGCCTCTCCCTCGCTCGCGATTCGCATGTTACATTAAGCGAGCAAAGCCGCCAAGAATAAATGAATCCCCCTGGCGGGAGCTCTTCCTCGCCCCTCGCCACTACCACTCGCCTCATTCGTCAATCTCACCCATTTACCGGACTAAGAAGCATCCTCGGCGAGGGCCACTCGATAGTTTAATAAAATAGGAATGCGATGGCCGTGCAACTATCGATTAGCCTCCGCCGAGGGATTGGACGGGGCCACGGGGGTTGTTTGCCCGTCTCACACTGATGAGCTTTCACGTAGGCGACAGTGTCGGTTGCCTCGGGGACGACTACTGCCCCCCGCAATGCAGCTGCGCTGGTTCGGTGGTCCGCTGCTCCCGCTCGAGGCTGACGGAGATTCCGCGTGGCATCCCGCCGGAGACGACGGAGCTCTACCTCGACGTAAACGACATCAAGACAATCCAGCCGGAGCGGCTCGCCCACCTCGGCATCCTCACCAGGCTGTAAGTTCCTGTCACCGCTACCCAACCTTACGCCCCCACTATCGCTATCAATATTATGACTATTATTATTATTGTCGTTGTTGTTGTTTTTGTTGTTTTTATAATTTATATTTGTATTCGTATTTTTATTTTTCTTATCGTCGTCGTCCTCGTCATTGTCGTTGTTGTTTTTATAATTAATGATGTTCATCTACGGGGAGACTAGACGTTATTTATAGCCCGGGCATGATGGCCGGGGCGCGTTCGGTTGACTCCCGCTTAAAGACCCCCGATGGGGAGAGAGACCCGCAACCCGATCAACGCCTCTTTTATGATTTGCAGGGACTTGAGCAACAACCAGATTGGAATGCTATCCAATAACACATTCAGGAACCTTACGAAGCTGGCGCATCTGTGAGTATCGATGGCTGGAGCCGCGTCCGCTCACCACCTCCGCTCCCCGACCTCCGCACTCTAATTCTCCTCTGTTCGCAGGATCATCAGCTACAATAAGCTCCAGTGCGTGCAGCGCGGGGCGTTGGCCGGCCTCAAATCGCTCCGCATCCTGTACGTATGGGATATTGCTTAGACGTACGCTCGTTTGCCCCTAAACGGCTCCCGGTGACTTTTCCATTTGCGATCGACGGGGAACCGATACGACGAAGCGGTTAAACGCGACGCCGAGCCCCACGTTACGTTACTTTGCGCCCGTCTTACGTCCGATTCAATAAGCGCGTAGCACTCGTGCCCCGGGACGACGGAAAAATGCGACCCTCGACCTTAACGTGGGGGAAATTATGCGGCTTTGTGCCCAATGCATTATTACGCTAACGCGTCATTAACCTGATCATAGTAATTAAGTTTTTTTCTCGCGTCTCGTGGTTTGCTCCTTACCCCTTGCTCGTTATTATCGCTACTACTACTACTACTATTACTATTACTATTACTATTACTATTACTATTATTATTATTATTATTATTATCATTATTATCATTATTATTATTATCATTATTATTATTATTATTATTATTATTATTATTATTATTATTATTATTATTTTGTTTTTCATATTGTTTCTTTTTCTCCTGTTATTGTCGTTGCTGTCGATATGCTATTTTATTGTTATTTATTTTATTTATGAATGGCTATCACAGCTGCGGTTTGTAAAGCCACTCTTATTATTCCTACCGATATTCGCGTTTATATTTTAATTGGCAGCTCGGGCATTTTCTTGTAATTCGAAAATACCGCATTAATTGCAAAGTTACGTATAGGCGCTAATTCATGCGGATAGAACATAAATGTTCTAGTAATTTATGTATTAAGGCAGCATTCCTCAGTCCATTGTTATTACCGCCTGAAACGCTGTACTTTTATTCCAAGCCATCAATTAGAAGTCAATCGATCCTTTATTTATTTATTCGTGCAGGCATTTATTAGAACGCGAGGTAAAAAACAGCCTTTTATCCTGAAATAATTTCTTTCGTTAATTTGATGAAAACTTGGTTCATTTTCTCTTAAAGCTTTTTTGTAGCAGCATATCATTAATGCTGGGAGTTGGGATTTTGCACAAACCAAAGACTCTTTATTTAATTAGTTACGATCATTCTCGGTCCAGTCAATCATTCACCGGCGCTAAAAATGTAACGTAAACATGCGATTGTCATTCGAGGTGAAAATTTTTAGGTAAAATCTTTGCCATAGCTGTAAACGAATTTTATTTATGTCTCATCGGTAGAATTTAATTCAATTTCGACTCAGACATTGGCGGTGCTAAAGTTAATGATTTAACTTTAGATTAGCACAGCCGTCAATGTAATGTCGGCGTCGTCTCCCACTCCAGAACCTATTAAACTACATAATAATTGGCAAACTCATAAATTTTAAGCGCCCCTTGAACGTGACAAGTGGACTTTCTTTCATTTTAATTGATAAGAAAAGATCGGGCCAATGCGTTTGAATATACAGCGACGAGTAATACGACATCGTAACGCGTGAAGGGACCAGTGGCCAGTTGTAATCGCTATCAATCAGGAGAAATCGCTAATCAGGATCTATCTCACGTATAATCACGCTCTGCCTCGAAATAATACGTGTGAACGATGAACTTAGCGGCTCGATGATGGGCAGCCGAGTGCTCGCGCAACGGGAAAACGGGGCCGCACCGATATATTTCGCGTGCAGCAGCAAAAGCGCTCGATTCACAGATACGGGACGCGTAAGCATCGACTCGGCCCAACAAAGACACACGCTATTTCACGGGGATGGCGTGACTTTTTGCGGCCAAGATGAAGGACGCTGGATCTGTTTCAGATCGCTGCATGGCAACGACATATCGGTCATACCCGAGGGCGCCTTCGAGGATCTGAAATCCGTCACACACGTGTAAGTAGAAACATTACGAAGCGCATGACAAAGTCGCGCGTACACAATTTAAACAAACCGATATGTGAACCCGTTTAGCGCCCTTGGCTCGAACCCATTGTACTGCGACTGCAACATGCGCTGGTTGGCCGAATGGGTGAAACGGGACTACATGGAGCCGGGGATCGCCCGGTGCGCCGAGCCCGCCTCCATGAAGGACAAGCTACTCCTCACCACGCTCGTCAGCTCCTTCCAGTGCAAAAGTAAGCATCACAAGCTCTTCCCATTACTTTTCTCGACTTGTTGCTTACAGCGCGCACTCTCTATCGAAAATCTCGGTCGGCGATGATCTAAGTTGCCCGCCCTGATATCCGAGCGCAGCACGACCGAAAATGCGCTAACGGTACTCTTCCCGTCCGCTGACTTTGAACTTTCGATTCAATTGCTAATAACACGGTGGGTCCGAGCAGCCTCATTTGTTGCGAAGGCAACCAGTCGCCTCCGCGTCCCGAACGACTAAAAATCCAAATTACAAAATGAGTCCCATCGGCTTCTTTAAGCAGGCGTTCAATTAAAGCGAAATTGCGCCGAGGACCGTACGAGCTGCAGTCATTCGTTTACCCATAAAGATCGATGTTTCGCTTCAATGGGAGAAATGTAGAGAGTGCGCGCCTAGTTGTGTTCTTTCTTTTTTTATTTTTTATTCTTTTATTTTCTCTTTTCATAGTTGTATTATCCAACGTTGCTTAATGCCTCATCTATTTCTCTCTTGATTTTACGTTATTTTTCTTCCGAGTTCCTTCTCTAGATGCTTCTTTTTTTCTGGTGGTTTTTGTTACTCCTTCATTTTATTTTATTTTTTCTTATGTTTTTTTTTTATTTTTTTCTTGTTGTTTTTTGTTTTATTTTTACACCTTTCTGTGTCTTAATAGAGGGAGACTTTTTTTATTATTTTTTTTTTTTAGATTAGAGCTATTTACTTGTTGATTTTTTCTTTTTTTGATGTTGGAATGTGCACCCGGGATTGAGCTTTTATTCCAAGTAGTGCCGAGAAGGAAAAATTGTACGAAACGTGAAATTGTTTATTACATTTAAGGGAGTGACTTTTATTACTAAATTATATGGGAATTTATTATTACGGTGCGATACGTATCTTGATCGCTATCACTTACTTAACATACATTTTGACTGATTTACGTAAATTTTATTGCAAAATATTGTCATCCTCCGATTTTGACAAACTACGCTTTAGGCAGAAAACAATGAAGCTTATTAGAATCATCGAAGACAAAAAAAACAGTGAGTGAGAGAGAGAGAGAGAGAGAAACTATGAATAACCTCGTTTTGTATACCTGAGTATTTTCAATTCCTTTTTGCATTTACTACTTGACATACTATTTTATCGTCGATAAAAGCGAAGGGCAAAATATTTATACATACACATATACATACAGAGAACGCGCGCGCACGCTCACGCATATCTGTATATTGCATTTCGAATGTTCGATTCGTAACAACTGGCATTCTATACTATCTGCAAATAACAGGTTTTGTAGCTGCGTTCTTTATATCGGCTGCGATACGTCAATATACTTGGAGTTTAAAAAATAAGTGCAATTACGCCAATAAAATTCTTTCTCTCATAACTATAATCAACTAAATTTCTATATATCCTAGCGGCTGAAAGAGGCACACATCAATCAAAATCCCACCAGAGAATAAAATTCCCTACGAACTTTATATCCGCGTATAGAATCATGCACGTAACCATATGATATATAGGGTGCGTGTATAATAAATTACGACAATACAATAAATTTTTTTATTTTTTATCGGTGTTATTCTATTTTAATTTATATGCAAATCGCATAAGAACGACATTCACATGTGAATGCGCGCGCGCTCATGTACGCGCATATTCATTTAATTAATAACGCTCATTAAAATTTGGTAGTAAATTATACGGTCATAAATATTTACCCACGTAGTCAAATAGTAAAAAATATTTGGCGCCCTTGCTCCAGGGTGGTCTGGACGAAAAATTTCCTAATTACAGCCAAAAAAATATTCGAAATGTTTGTTATATCTTTATAAGGAATATTGAAAACAAGAAATAAAAGCGTTTGATAAGGGATTTTATTTGTTTGTTCGTACTCTGAGAAGAAGATGAAAGGATGAACGATTGAGCAAAAAAGAGAGGAGGGGAACTTTATTAGGGACAAAACAAACAGAGAGGTGCATAATTATTAGAGAGAAAAGTGCAAACGACCGATGAGAGAGAGAGAGAGAGAGAGAGAAAGTAACGCTCGACTCCTCGGCACTCTCTCGCGTTGCTGGAGAGAAAAAGAAGGAGAAGAAAAGCAAAAGAAAGGCAGGGGACGAGAAAAGGCGAGAAAAAAGCCCGGCACCGTAAAAATAAATTCCCGTTTCCTCAAACGGCCTCGGCCGACGTTTACGAGGCTCGCTCTCTGCCCTTTCGCCATGGCGGCCTCCTCACAGTGCCTGAATTATGCAACGGAAAATTACGCCACCCCCGTCAATAATGCAGATATCGCGCGGCTAGAGAGTCGTCGTGGACTCGCGTGGCGTCCGCCATGCGCGATTACAGTGCGCGATAATGAGGAAAGCAAAGTATTGGCCATCGACTCGGACGCGAGAAAGGGCGCATCGATTGTTGGCAGCCAAAGTGCGCCGAACCCTAAATCAATTGGACGGGAGAAAGATAGAGGGTAAGGCACTCGATGCCGGCACTCGGCGCTCGTTTCGCCGCGCGATAAATGCACTTTTCGATGAGGCTCGGAGAGCCGCGCTGATAAATCAATCGCGATGTTGCGCGGAGAACTATAAAGCGTGGCGAGCACAATGAGGAAAATTATTGCCGCTTCCCGCGCGGACGTGAATGACGCCTGTGCGCAGATTGTTCTTTTGCTCCTTCGTTTTTGTCCCGGCCACTTGGAACAATGGAGCGAACGTGATTCTTTTGCTCCTCGTTATTTACGACGACTACTAGCTTTCGCTTTAATTACGTCGGCGAGTGTGTGTTGGAAGAGCGCATTAAGCTATGATATGCAAGAAGAAATTGCCCAAGCGATCGACTGCTTAGCTAATTTACGCGTTGTTATTGATAATCAATGTGGAATTGTCGAGATGGATTTGCTTTAATGTAATGTTCGTAAGAACGAGAGCGGCCCCATGACATACGCAACTTTATCGATATCGTATACACTTGGCCTTTCCGCGTCTCACGACGAGCCGTACAAATTACAATCACTTTATTATCGAACGGCCATTAATGTGGCGAGTCACGCGTGCACATCAAGTCACTAGCGAAACAATTAGGATAACTCACGTAAGGCACTCAAATTGTTATCGCGATTGAGCAAGTATAATAACGCGCTTACAATGAAAGAAATCCTTATTACACACAAATGGCTGCGTTTGCGGATATTAGTCGATTTGTTGCGGTGCACGGGTGTTCTTAACGGCACGCTCGCTCTATTGTATTTTTAACTTTCGTTTACTTTTTAAAGAGGTGGTCGCATGTTGCCAATATCGAATTTCTGTCCGAAATCTATAAAAACTGGTACGTACGCAAGCCCCCCGATGAGAAACTACTACTTGCGGCAATGGCGAGGGAGGGAACGAGCTAACTAATCAAGGAAACAGTCGCATGTAGG